GTGGTGTTGGCAAAGAATACTGAAAGTACCATGGACTGCCAGAAAAACTAACAAATCTGCCCTGGAAGAAGTGCAGCCAGAATGCTCCTTGGAAGCGAGAATACCCAGACTTTGTCTCACCTGCTTTGGTCATATTGTCTGAAGGGACCATTCTCTGGCAAAAGATTTTATGCTTGGTAAAGTTGGAGAGTCAACTAAAAAGGGGAAGGCCCTCAACATGATGGATTGACACGGTGGCTACAACAATGGGCTAAGGTATAGCAAGGATTGTGAAGCTGGTGCGGGGCTGGGCAGTGTTTTGTTTTGTTGTAGGTAGGGTCTCTATGAGTTGGAGCTGGTAGCTAACAACAACAGACATCATCCTCCTTTTTGTGATGTACTTACTGTAAATCCTATTCTCTATGCTTGTTTAGGGTGAGATGTATCTTGAGTCCTGCCTTGCTGGAGTTGTTGTTATTTGCCGTCAAGTCAGCCCCAACTCATAGCGACCCCTCCTTGGGTTTCCGAGGCGGTACCACTTCCGAAGTAGATTGCCCAACCTTCCTTCGAGGAGTGACTGGTCGGTTTGAACCAGAAGCCTTCTGGCTAGCAGTCAGGTGCCTTAGGCACTACACTACCAGAGCTCCCCCTTGCTGGAGGGTATGACCCAAGTCGCCACCCTTAGCTTTCTTGAGGGTATATGTATGAATATTCTGGGAAAGTTTGTTCTCTTGCCCTTGTTCTCGTTTGGTTCATCATCATGAATTTGGGATAGCAATTGTCACCTGATAATGCCGATTTGGGTTTTCCAAGCCCTGCAACCGTGTGAGTTGGTAGAATCCTCCAGTCCTCACTCACAGACCTGTGACTTGCCGGCCTCCCAGCCTTTACCACCACGTGAGCTGTTTCCTTGAGAGTCTGTGAGTTTTGTGAGACTTTACGGAACCCTAAAACAGAATGAAGATTATTGAGGGGAGGAGGAGGAGTTAATGTCAGAGATGATGGAGTGGCACAGCAGTTTGGAAAAGTTGGACATTTGGGACATCTTTAACCTCCTCCTCATAGGGACCGGCCCTTGTGCTGATCTTTCTAAAAGAAGTTAACTCAAGCAGCTGGTGTCAGAAGTGGTGGGATAAAGATTGGAGGGTGGTAACACGTTGGCCTCATAGAAATAAGCCTTAGGCTGCTAATGGTGCTGCTTTCTTCCACTTGTGAAGTTAGAGGTAGTCAGAAGATGCTGTCTCTAGGTCCTTTTTGTTTTTGCACTTGGCATCAGAAGCGAGAGTCAATGCAATAGCTCCAGACTCATAGAAGCATGGGACTTTGTGAGTAAAAAAAAGGAAGGGGCATGGGAAGTGAAACTTTTGATTTTCAGATGGTTACTTCGGTTATTGTTACCTATTGTTATTGTTGTTATGTGCCAGAGAGTCGCACCTGACTCATATCGACCCCTCCTTGGGTTTCCGAGGCGATACCCGTATGGAAGTAGATTGCCTAACCTTCCTTCTGAGGAGTGGCTGGTGAACCGCCAGCCTTCTGGTTAGCAGTCAAGTGCCTTACGCATTATGCTACCAGAGCTCCTATTATTACCTGTGATGGTGAAATACAGAAGTATTATGCTGCAGCTGAGAAGTCGCTATGAGTCTGAATCTGACTGGACAGCAGTGAGTTTCCCCCCCCCCCCCCCGCTTTTATGCTGCAGCTGAGTGGAGAAAAGCCCAAGTCAAGAGCCAGGCTGATTAGAGGAGATAATTGATCCAGAGGCTAGGAGGGCTTTTGGTTACACCCAGCCAAAGACCCAAGGCCATATTGCATAGAATGGGAATTGCGTTCATCAAGGTGAAGCTATGAAACTGGAATGTTTTAAAAGGATTATGTGTTTTGGATTATGTGTTTATCTGAATATACTATAGATATTTAATATTCTCTTACCTAATTGTATGTTAGAAATGAATATTGGGTATTAATAACAGTGTGTAAGTCTGCCTTTAGCCAATATTTGATTGAATATGTTAAAAGAGGAAATAGAATTTGTCCAGAAGAAACATAGGCTTTTGTTTCAAGCCCTGTGTGTACAGTATTAGGTGCTTAAGTAGAAAACCTTAGCCCCATACAGAACTTTCAGAATCAGGAAATTTGCTTTCAAAAAGACATGGAAACCAACCCATACCTACCGAGAGAACAGAAGATTTGCATCTGAAGGAAGAACCTGTAGAAAACAAAATGACAGCCTTTTTGAATTTCAAGCATATTGGCTTTAGGTGCATCTAGACAGGAAAGTCATGGTCCTTGAGAGAAACCCCTCCCAGGACTGGAAGTTAAAGGAAGCTCACGAGTAGATGGTCTTCTATACTGCTCACTTGTGACCACCTGGGTCTCCTTGATGAGTGGACGTGAGGGAAGTGCAGCAATGAAAACTGGCTGTATTTGATAACTCTTTCCTTAGCCCACAGAAGCAAAGGAGGAGAGAAAGTACTGGCTGGTTTGAAGTGCAAGGAATTGCACTCAAACTTCTGCGCGTACAGGCATTAAACTAGTCCTCAAGGACTAGAGATGAGAGAGAGAAGGTCCTGGCTGGTCTGAAGTGAAGGGAGGAGTGTGACTCCCAAACTTGGAGCTGGTACCCATGACCTAACTGGGATGGCTAGTACTGAGCTGACCAGCACCCAACCAAAGAGGAAGATGTTTGACACTGAGTTGGTGTTAAGTTGATTGATGCAATTTGATGGCTTGCTCTGGACTGGACTTTGCTTATGGATGCAGATGCTCAAAATTCCAAACAGAGCAGAAGATTCTTCAGAGAGAAAGGAACGTGCTACTCAGAGTACTGGTTTGATAGGGACCAGCAAATTAGAAATTGGCTATCTAAAATGGGGAAGATAAAGGCATGAAGTGGCTGGCTTACACACTTTGATGGGTATGCTCGTTCTTAAAGTGATTGTGAAGGGGTTATTCATTTTTTAAGTATGAAAGGGACAATGGCTAGAAAAGACAGAGGGTGACCTGTGGTGCAGTGAATTACTTGAGGTGGTTTTTCAAGCCATAGTCTTTGTAACTCCCCCCAGATTACTGGGTGGGATCATGCAAATAAGGCGTGTAGCACTCTTCATGTGAGAATTGATTAGTTTTGCTTTGCTGCAGGGCTTAAAATGAGCCTTCCTAGAGGCAGAGGGGGGAACTCATTGCCATCAAGAGAGAAGAGCTGGAGGTGAAGTAGCTGTATCCTTGGACCCAACATTCCTGCACTGGATCTCCTTGGTAGAGATGCCCGGCAGAGACAGAGCGGTAGGCTTAGTTAGCACACAGAGTGAGAAAGCTCAGTGCCCTTGGGCAGGAGGCTTGTTGGCAGAGTGGGGTGCACCTAGGTGTACCTATCAGCAGAGCTAAAAGAGCTTTGTACCACTTGCCCGAGCAGGACAGAGGCCAGGTCAAGAAGCCAATGTCCAGAGAGGTGTGTCTGAGGGTGTAGCAGAGGGGAGACTGTCCTGATCGAAGAATTGTATCCTGAGCATATTCCTGAATTTACCTGAATTGTAAGCTGTTACTTCCCTAATAAGCCCCGTAATCCTGAGTATTGTCTGTGAGTTCTATGTGGCCATTGCAATGAATTACCGAAACCAGCAGAGGAGTAGTGAGTGCCGTGGAAGGGATGGCTGGTGTCAGAATTGGCAAAAAGGTTGGAGGGTGGCAGCATGTCTGGCCTCATAGAAATAAGCCTCAGACTGCGGATGGTGATTCTGTCTTCCTTTTGTGAAGTTAGAGGAGGTCTGAAGATGCTGCCCCCATGTCCTTTTTGCGGTAATACTTACATTAAAGCCAGTAATTTAAAAATAATGTTTTATTTTTGAATACTTATGTTTGAATACTATTTAACTTGGTTTCCTAGAGATTCATTTTAAGTAAGCATTGTCATTTTCCCCATTTTGTCTATATGCTTACTCCTTTTCCTTCATTCTATTCCATACTGCCATATATCACTTTCAGTGATACACAGATCTTCTCTCAAAGTAAATCTCTAAATCTGCCTAACCAATTATTTGACTGTACCTTTCTGCTTGCATGTTGTTTCAGGTATCTAGTGCTGCTACAACAGAAATAGGACAAGTGGATAGCTTTAATAAACAGAAATTTATTTTCTCACAGTTTAGGAAGGCTGAATTCAGAGTGCTGGCTCTATGGAAAGGCTATTTCTCTCTCAGTTCTGGAGGAAGGTCCTTGCCTCTTTGGCTTCTCCTTCTGGGTTTCTTGGAGATCTTCATGTGTCTTGGCATTTCTCTTCTCCCAGCTCTGCTTCTTTCATTTGCTTGGTTACTCTCTTTACGTCTCAAAAGAGTTGACTCAACACAGACCCTATGCTATTCCTGTCTCATTAATATAACAAAGACAACCCATTCCCAAATGGGATTATAACCACAGGCATAAGTAATAGGGTTTACAGTACATATTTTGGAGGATACAATTCAATCCATAGCATATATCTCATTATCATCTCAAACCTGTTGTTGTTGTTATGTGCCGTCGAGTCAAACCCGACTCATAGCGACCCCTCCTTGGGTTTCCGAGGCAGTATCACTACGGAAGTAGGATTGCCCAACCTTCCTTCCGAGGAGTGGCTGGTGGGTTTGAACCGCCAGCCGTCTGGTTAGCAGGCAAGTGTCTTAGCCACTATGCTACCAGAGCTCCCATCTCAAACCTAGTACATCTAAATTTGGCCAGCGTGCCTCCTGAACCAGACATAAACCATGCCTCTTCTCTCCTCATGCTGGAGCATTCTCTGTACTTTGTGTTACTAGTTATCCCAAGTCCTGTCAAGAGTTTTATGTCTGGTATCGATTCCTTTCTTTTTAAATCAGTGAAGGAACTAGAGTAGTTGGAAAAAATATATCAGATGTCAGTAGGATCTTTGAAGACTTGTTAAATTTAAAATGAGTTAGCCTAGAAAAGAAGAAAAGGTGACTGAATTCTTTTCTTGAGCTATGTAGTGAGTTTTGGGAGGAGGATTTGTTCTGTGTATAGGGAACATGGCACAGAGGGATCTGGAGTTGTATTTCAGTGTTACCAAGAAGCAGTACCTCAAGGACTCCTCTCGGTATGGAGAGTCGTGTCAGGGTGTGGTTGGTTGCTACTGGGGTTCTCTTGATTTTCCCCCTACCATAACAAGTTATCTTTTATGTGTTTATATGTAAAATGTCTTCCTATAGTTCTCTATCACTTCATAATGTATTTTAATTGCTTGTTTACTTATTTGTAATCTCTATTAGACTATAACGGAAGGAAGGTTGGGCAATGCACTTCTGTAGTGAAACTGCCTCAGAAACTCCAGGAGGGGTTGCTATGAGTCGGTTCCTACTCGACGGAAGCGAGTTTACTAGCCTATAAAGGAGCTCTGGTGGCTCTGTGGTTAGGGCATTGGGCTGCTAACCAAAAGGTTGGTGGTTCAAACCCACCAGCTGTGGGAGAAAGATGAGGCAGTCTGTTTCCGTTAAGATTTACAGCCTTGGAAACCCAATAGGAGTTGCTGTGAGTCGGAATCGACTCCATAGCTGCGGGTTTGGGGTTTGATTAGACTAAAAGCACTAAATGAGTATTGTAAGTACTCAAAATGTTGATTAAAATGATGATGTTAAGGTAAGTCCTAATATAGGTCCAGGGCATATCTTTTTCTACCACATTAGAAAGAGCTATTATGTGCCTCATTTGACTGGGAGTTCATCACAAATACATGGGCAAACATTACATTCTAGCTCAAATACTATTAAACAAACCGTTTGTTTTCTGCTCCTTCCTGTATTCATTTTGTGGTACATTAAGGATTTCCAGTTTTCATTTGCAGAAAATGTTTGAAGCACTTAATCAGTAGACTGAGGAGGTGGAGGTGGGGAGAGCCATTAAACATAAGTTTAACCCTTTAGTTATTTTAAATGACATTCTTTCACATAAATATATGCAGTCTCTCTTTCCAGGCAAGAAGTCCCCTACTGCTATGTGTACCTTATTGGCCAAGTATATAATGGGAAGGCATTCAAAACAGTTCCTAGACCCTGTTGTCAGTGCCAGACAGTGCAGTCTTCACATTGCCTGTAAGTTGTCTAGAATTCCTATATCGTATACTGTGTGGGGGACAAATTATTCTATAGACACATAGCTTAAAACTCAGTGACATGTGCCTTACTTGACTGGGAATATGTCATAAATCTGTCACAAATACAGATATTACATTCTAGGACAAATACATTAAACAGTATGATTTTTGCTTCCTCCATATTCATCATATTCATTAAGAATGTACCAACACTGGTGGGGGGTTCATTTTATTTCATAATTTTGCCGGGTCAATTACTTTACCCATTTAGACCTCAGCATAAAACTAGCCATCCTCTCACCAGAGTCATCATCTTACATTCAGTGTGGATGTTACAGGTTGAAATGGGAGATGGGGAGTTTGTCCATATTTATTGTTTTTTATTACTATTATTTTAATGAAACATTTTAAACATTTAGAAAGGAGGCATTGCCTTTACAGATGAATTCTACATTGTATCCTTTCTTGATTCCATTCTGTTTGCTTCCCTCTTTCCTTACCTCCCAGGTTGTCACTTTTTATAGCTGGTATGTATCCTTTCTGTCAGCATATTAATGTATTTCCCTAGACACATGTGTGTCCATAAACAGTTATATAGTATTCTGTTGTATATTTTTTTAATTTATGTAAGTGGTGCCCTCTCCGAAGGAAGATGGGGCAGTCTACTTCAGTAGTGATAACTGCCTTGGAAACTCAAGGAGGGGTCGCTATGAGTCTGTCCAACTCGACGGCACATAACAACAACAACAAAAGTGGTGCCCTATATATAGTATGTATCTTTCTACAACTTGTTTTTTGTGGGTATTGTCATGAGGATATATGTTAATACATGTAAATCTAGTTAATTAGAGCATTGGCTTCCTCTAGTATTTCATTATATGATTATGCCAAGTTATAGGTTGTTGATTCCTGTGTCTAAAGATAAAAGTATGGCAGATTTATATATATATATATATATTTAACAAGACTGGAAATTAAAAATACATATTTGAGAGGAACATTGGTGATTGTTCTATAAGGTGCTGATTGGGTGAGACTAGATGTATTTTTAGCTTGAGGGGAACACTAAAATTTATCATTATTTTGATTTATTTTAGTCATTTTTTAATACATACTGAAATTTTAAATAATACTAAAAGAGCTGGTAAGGTTTTTTAATATTTGCCAATATGGGGCATAGATTCTCAAAAAAACTGAGAAAACACCATTCTAGAGTAAGTCTACAAAATAGTGACTTTAGGTAAAACTGTGTTTGATTATCAGCCTCTGGAAGTAAAATAAATATCTAAGTACCTGCCTCAAGAGTAATTCTTCAACCTCTAGATCCCATTCTAGAGAAGTTAGGTGATTAGTAAAGTTAAAGTCTCTTAAAATAAACATGACCCACCCACTTCACTGCCTTCAAGTTGATTCCGACTTATAGTGACCCTGTAGTATCGAGTAGAACTGCCTCATAGGGTTTCCAAAGCTGTAAATCTTTAAGGAAGCTTTCTCCCACAGAGCAGCTGGTGGGTTCAAACCACCAACCTTTTGGTTAGTAGCCCAATGCTTTAATCAAAGTGCCACCAGAGCTCCTATAAATATGACATTAATGCATATTTCTGTACCGTGGTAAATAAAAAGTTCTAAGGACATCCACTTCTGCCAAAGAAAAAAAAAAAAGGCAGATATGCAGGTGGTGGGAAGCTCTGGTGGCATAGTGCCTAAGGCATTTGACTGCTAACCAGAAGGTTGGTGGTTCAAACCCATCAGCCACTCCTTGGAAGGAATGTGGGGCAATCTACTTCCATAGTGATACCACCTCAGAAACCTAAGGAGGGGTCACTATGAGTCGGGACCAACTCGAGGGCAGTGGGTTTGGTTTTGGTATGCTAGTAATGAAAGGTATGCTTCAGTAAGTAATCTTTCATCTTAATCACTGGTTTTGACACTAAATGGTTATGTGCTCTTGGGGCAAGCTACTTAGTGCCTGTGTACCTCAGTTTACTCATCTGTAAAAAAAGAAAATTGGTTATTGAGAAAACATTACTGGGTAGAGATGATCTGAGGTAGACCTGTTTTGTTTCTTACTGTTTATTTGTTCTTGGGCAATGGTAGACAAATACCTTTTGTTGTTGTTGTGGAGAATATCTAAATAGAACATATGCCAATTCAACAATTTTTGCATGTACAATTTAGTGACATTGATTGCATTCTTAAGGCTGTGTAAGCATTCTTACCCTTGTTTTCCTGAGTTGTTCCTCCCCGATTAACGTAAACTCACTGCCACTTAAGGTTCCCATCTAATCTTTCAAGTTGCTGTTCTAAGTTTGATCTCATATAGATAGTTCTTAAAAGAGCACAGTGCTCAAAGTCTATCGGTGGCACAGACAGTCTGTACCCAACTGGTAACCTAAAGGCCAGTTTGGACCCGCCCAGTGGTACCTAGGAAGGTCTAGGCCTGGCAACCAGCTTCCACAGAGATCACAGCCAACCCAACTCCATAACTAACAGAGCCTCTCCAAATGAACACATAAAGAAAACAAATGCTTCAATGGAGAAGCACAACACTCAAGGCAGATTTTACTATACTCACTCCTCACTTATGGACATAGTTAGACCATGTCATTATGCAAAAATTGACATTATGCAAAAATGGAGGATAACTATTTCATTACATACCTCCCAAATTACATCATTACAAAACTACCAAACCACTAGGAATTGTGGCCCAGCCAAGTTGACACATAACCTTAACCATTATAACCAACATTTACTCTTGCCTCTCACCTTGATGTTCCTTACTGCCAGACATTCGTTGTCAAATGTGCAAAATAGCCAGATGATAGATTTTTTTCCACTATTATCATAAATATGAAATGTCAAATAACAATATAATTGATAAGTGAGGAGTAAGTGTGGTTAAACTAAACTATTATTTGGTTTTCAGACATCAAGGTATACTTTTAGCTTAAGTTTTAATGTTTAAAGATTATCTCAGGGTAATAGTTTCAAAGTTCTCCTGTTTTTTGTTTTTAACTTCTCAGACCAGCCCCTACAGGTTTGAAATTTAATGTATGTTTTACTTATAATTCTTCTTTACATGTCTCTGCAAAATGTTCCTGTAATTACTGGTTTGTTTTTTTTTTTAATAAAAATTATCATCTTCCCTAAGAGCACATGTCTCTTGGGAGGGGTGGAACCTAAACCAATTTCTCTCTGCATTGCCCCACAGACGTGCTTAGAGTCTTCATCGACGAATCAGTAATTTCTGTCCAGAGTGCATTGTTTAAGACCATTTATTGTATACACATGTCTGTAAAAGTATTGGTTTTATATTCTTGGTTCTTTTTAATTTTTTTTAAAAGGTTATTGTGGTAAAATATAGAACCAAAAGTTTGCCATTTTAACCATTTTTAATTTAGTGACATTCATTACAATTCACCATTACCTCTATCCATTTCCAAATATATTTTTTTACATATAAAATTGTTACCACAAAACCATGGCTCACAAAGGATTCATTTCTTAAAAATCCTGTATTTCACTATCCCTTCACTTCATTATTGTAAGGTAGAGCTTACAGCCGAGCTCTCCTGAGCTGATGTTGCCATCTGGTGACTGATACCTTAAGTATTTGATGCATCATCTTTACCTACCTAATTTTTTTTTTTTTTTTTTTCTATAGGAAACGGGAGCTCTGGTAGCATAGTGGCTATAGTCACTTGGCTGCTAACCAGAAGGCTGACGGTTCAAACCCACCAGCCACTCCTCGGAAGGAAGGTTGGGCAATCCTACTTCCGTAGTGGTAGTGCCTCGGAAACCCAAGGAGGGGTCGCTATGAGTCGGGGCCGACTCGACGGCACATAACAACAACAACAACAACATAGGAACTGATGTTCCGTCCTTTCTTTTCCAACCTTCTACTTTCATCACTTAGTCATTCTTACGTGAAGAAGTTCATTATAAACCAAGATGGCACCTAACAACAACAATTAAGAACATACATAATCTTTTCCCATTCTCTCTTTTCAAGCTCTTTTTTGTC